TTTACAACACTGTTCCGGAACAGTTCAACCCAAATATTCAGATGTATGCATTTTATGGAGGACGAGGACTGTTTTCTGGGAGAGTTGCCTACAATGCCGCTGTCTGTTTCTGTAAAGTGGGGCAATTCCAACTTTGCAAGGACAGTCTGGCGCTTCTGACTCACAGCCTGTAAGTACGTTTTCATATTTAAAGAATTTGCCACTGACGATTCAAATGCGAGTTTTGAGCAGTGTAGAGTAGCGCTTGTTGTTTGTCGTTTCTCCGATCACAAATGCAGACATAGTTTTATGTTTACGCAGCGCGATATGCAACACATAAAAAGACATTATAAGTCATTATAATCAGTAATTATGTCCCTACTGGATGCAACAAATGCTTCGTTTATAATGGGTTTTACTGGTTTTGTCTCGTCATGCCGTGGACACGGCATCACAGTATGGTTAGGGGCGTAACATTTCTGTCACAAGCTTGAGGTATTCGGACTATCACAACGCACTGGATAGTTGGCCAATCAGAGCACACCTCGCTTCTCAGACCGATGAGCATTGTAAAAATCGACGCGTTTCAGAAAGGCGGGGCATAGAGGAGAAACAATAATGTACATCATGTGGAAAATAATGTGTTTTTTTAACCTTAAACCGCATAAACACATTGCATTACACCAAATACACAAAATAATGTTCTTTTTAGCAATGTCATATGACCCCTTTAAAAAACTGTGATTTTTAGTTCGTAAATGAACTGAATGATTCAGGCATCTGAAATAATCTGTTATCTAATTTATGAATGTTCGTTATATGGGTTAAGGCCTGTTCACACTAAAAAAATAATAGTTTTAAATCTGTGAGAACAGAGAAGCCCACACCACAGCTATAATATACAAAATCACTTTCAGAATGTTATTTTCCAGCTAAGGAATCATAAAAACATTTACAGGCAACCAGAATCTAACTGCCTTCAAAGAACTCGAGCGTTTAAAGCGACAGACTACAGAACTGCATCGCACACTTATAATAAACAATGTTTTCATGCATTGCTGTGGACGCCAGTATAATTATCGTTAGGGTTGGGGGTTGACACTAATTTCATGAATAAATTTTATTCCGATTCGCATAGCTCTTATTCGATTGTAACTTTATATTTATTTGGATATATCTAAACATACCTTCATTAATGTTTCCTTAATGGTTCATTAATGTTTTTTTTAATGCTATAGCTAGTAGTAAAGAGGAAAAGTTGATGGCTCATTCATGCATGCTCTTGAACTGAGGCAGCTAAAGCAACCTTCCACCACATTAAAGAGCATCAAAATGTCATTTATTGATCAAATTGACAGAATTTAAAATCTGACATTTCTTCAAATGTAAGAAGGCACAATGTATATTGTGTTTATTGCTAGGGATGCTCCGATCCGCCTTTTTTGCCTCCGATACCGATTCCGATACCTAGGGTTCGGTATTGGCCGATACCGATTGAGCCTTTCTTTTAACAGTTTTAAATTTCAATTACTGTGCACGTTAAAAACAATTTATAGTCTTTTCTACACCCGTGTTTTGTTCTCACAGACACCCGGTAGCAAGTAACAAAACAACATTAAA